CAACACATGAAAACATTCTGGTGAGTCCCTTGGATTCAGATGGAAAGCAGAGTCTGCCTCCCAGTGGAAGAACTTAGGGTGATTGACTTAAACSAGGGGAAAAATGACTGTAGGAATTTGGAGAGTGATAATGAGGCTGTTACACCACTTCTCCAGTAGGCAGAGGTTACTGGTGAAGCTTCGGGCTTCTTCTTTTATGCAGACTTTTTTTCATGCTGTATATGCAGTGGTGTTGATGTTCGTGTTTAAATGCTCTTCCATGTTTAATTTGTATCTGTGGTTTAAAAATCTAGCAGTATGCTGAGGAAATTGGGGGTTTCATCTCTCTCTAACAGTGAGTTTCTCTGAGGCCTTCTCCAGTAGCAAGATACTTCATTCATTAGTTTATTTTTYCTCTGTCACAAACATGAAAACATTTAATTTAGTTTGGCATTAAATGCATCTCTTAAATSCTCTAATAACTGCTTGTGAGAAGGAATGGAAGCAGTGTATTGACAGTATCTCATAAAGTGCCTGAAATGAGTAGGACACTTGTTTGCCATGAATTGTCATATATGTAGTGGGAGGAGAAGGAGATGCAATATGAAACAGTGCTGGTTTGTGTTCTGGTGTAGCCATTACTTTGTTACATGATCTTGAGTAAGTGTTTTTAGCATGCTGCCACCTTCTTGGGAAGTGCTTTCAGGTTTCCTGACAAAGTTGTCACCTTAGAGCTGTGTTGTATTGTTCCTACTAACAGAAGATACATTTGTCAATCCATTAAATATCTAAACTGACTTGAAAAAGTTTTAAAAAAACCTCTTATTTAAGGAAAATAAGTTTTAAAATGTTTTGAATAGAAAAAAWCAAAGATGCGTAATTGCAATGTAGTTTGCATTTTCAGTTTGTTTAATTGGAAGGGTGTTTGTGTCATGGGTGAAAACAGCTTTAGGAGTATTTAAGTGTTGTTCCTGGAGCTCACTGAACCAATTTTGATTTAGTTTTACCTTTCACCTGGAACAAATTTAAACTCAAATTTGTAGCCTGTGCAGTCAGATTGTGCATTGAAGTCATGTAGCTTTTTTTGTGGGGGAAATAAATCTGTTTTGTGATGTCACTTTGGCTTCCCGTTTCTCATATATGTCCCTGTCTTTGTTTCGTTAGGAAGCAGAGATGTGGGAACCTGGGCCCTCTCTGTCCTTCAGTGTGCAGTGATATTTCAGCGGGGCTCGGGTATATGTAGAACAGGTTGGTGTCAAATACAAGTTTTTAACACCCACTTACCATTACCTTTCTAGAATGACTGGATATACCAAGTACCTGCTTATGAGAAAGCAGAGTTCTGAGCCCTGGAGAAATGCCAGTTCCTTCATCTAGTTTAGTTCTGTGCTACCACATTTGTTTTCCTGTTTTCTACCAACACTGATTTTTTTTTCCCACCTTGATATAAATGAGCCTACTAAGAGGAAAAGGAATCTTTTCTAGATAATAACTTCTTCCTTTGTATCAAAATTTAGTTATTACTGTAGAGAGTGTCTCCCTAGGGTAAAAGGACTTCTTTGGTTCATGTAACTTCTACATTTTAGTATCTTAGTGTTTAACAAGGACACAAAAATTTATTTATCCTAATAACATGTCTGCTGGCTGTCTCCTAAGGAAATAGGGGTATCATTTTACAAACGTAGCATTGACATGTGAAGGACATTAATTAAACCCCTTTGTATTTATAGGAATGTGTATTAGCCTATACCCAAAGTTTAAAGGTATTTAAGCTTGTAGCGCTTGAAACCCCCAAGGCTGAGCTCCAAAAAAAGTAAGCAGTGAKATCATTAGTAGGAGAGCAGCAGGTTAATCCCGCAGTCCTCACTCAGCCCTGATCCCTCAGGCTGCTGTGACACCGAGTCACAAGGTGTCTGCTATCACTCTGTGCTCAGCTCGCTCCTTCCACAGCCCAGTGGAGCTCTCATTTGCGATGGATTTTCATTTTGCCAGGCTCCTTCCCCCTCCTCCAGCTCTGCCTTGTCTGTAACTCCTGTCAATTCCTGGTTACTCAGTCTGACTAACAGAAGATTAACATGTTTTGTACTGCTAATTTTCTGTTAGTTTAGGTGCTGCAGTGACTCACGGCAGGCTCAAATGAGTACCAAAGTTGATACAAAGGAAAATCCACCATTCCACTCTGAGGAGAGGGTTTAAACTGGATCAACAAGCTGATCTGACTCACTCCTAKCCTCACAGGCACTCGTGTGTTGGTACAATGGAGGGGAAGAGCGGAATTACCTTTTGGAGATGAACAGTCTGTTTTTATTAGCAGCCCAGCATTAAATCTGCTTGAGCCAAACTGAAATCACACCCTCAGGCCATGCAGTTCATGAGCAACCTTTGCTGCCCCAGCAGTCTGTTAAACTCCTACCTTGGAARCTGGTTTGTTCCAGGTCATAAAGCCTGTTTCCTGGCGGTCTGCGTGTGCCCTCGTGTGCTTTTCAGAAACACACTCATGCAGAGAAGTGCCTGAGTTTAATCGGGACTGGAGTTGAGTTGAGGATTTGCTTATGCTGAAGCGCTGAGTGGGTCGAGTTGTGGGGACAGGAGTGGCAGTGCTGAGGTGGCTCTGGCCACCTGCCCATGTTGTGTTTCCTGGCAGAACAAAGGCAAGCTTTTCAAGAACCTTAGGATTCACCCAGGAGGTGGGTCACAACTGGAGGCTACAGATTATCTGAATAAGGTAGCACAGGATTACCCTACAAATGTGCTTTCAGAGAATGTTTATTGTCTCCACCTCCCGAAGATCTGCCTCCTTTTGAGAGAAGAGCCRTAATCAATAGCAATTTTGGTCTCCCCCTATCCCTCTTTCTGTGTAACCARCAGCAGTTCACAGCATGTGGAGCAGCAGGGAGGGCAAAGTCCAGGGAGAGTCAGGTTGTCTCTTGTTTGTGACCAGGAGTGAGACATCAGGGACTGGGGTGGATGTGGGAATTAATTTCATTCTTATCTGCTTCCTTGAAAGAGTTTTAGAAAAACCTCTGGTAAGTGTGTGCCTGTGTTACAGCCATGCAATCCTCTTCTAGATCTTTCTGTGGCAGAGGCTGTTTAATAACTGTGACAAGCCCTGTGTGCTCATGTGGAGCTGTTGAGGAAAGTCCCTTTGGGTTTGTTCCCGGGGGTTGGTGCTCCCTGGGGGTTTCTGTGCCGAGCATTTCTTTTCCTCCCTGTTGAAAGCAGATGTCCTTTGGGACAGACCCACGGATCTACTCCCAGCTTGGCTCCAGAGAGGTGCTCCTGTTTGTAGCAGCGTTTCAGGTCTGCCTGGTGAAGGGTTTTGTGGATGTTTGAGAGGCTTATGGAAGGTCTCCCTTGTGCTGGAAGTGATGCTGAGACCCAGGCAGCAGCCTGGAAAAGGGTGACTTGGAGGGGTCRGAGGCTGGAAAATCAGCAAGCAGGGGGCAAGGACAGTGTGTGCACTTGTGTGGGAAACCACAGGATCTRTGAGAGGAGTGGTGTCAGGATGGCACCTGGGGATCCCCAGCTCTGGGGATGCAGGAGTGGTGAGAGGAGAGGCTCCTGGAAAGCAGTGAAGSGTCACTTGGGGAGGTGAGGTGGGCCCTTGTGCCCACTCTGCCATTGCTTCCAATTCGGGAGGATGTGCTGAACACCAGTTCTTCTCCAGGGACTCAAGGCATCCATTCCCACCATTCAGTAGGGCTTGCTGGGATTTCTATCCTCTYCATTTCCAGAAATTTCTGAAGCCASTTGTGCTGTACCTGYGAAGAACATCKGTTTTCAAAYAWAAGTGTCCCTTAAACCCATATTGCAAGAGAAACCTTCTGCTTAGGTGGGTCTGTGTTTGGGATTCTCCTCTGTACCGTTCATCGCCTCAGGCTCTGCTTGCTTCATAGTCCAAGGRGTTTGCTTGTGAAGCATAGGTTCTTGATTCTGTGAACATCTGGCTTTCTCTTCTATTTTTACATAGATGACTACATGAGTATTTATAAATGAGTAATAGGGATTTCTTTCTTTTAGGTCTCTTCTTTTTGCAGAGGAGAGGCTTACTTGCTGGGTGTTAGAAGATACTGACAGCCCTTGAGTGAATTTCAGATGTAGTAAAACCCTGCTTCTTCAGGGTTGTTAATGTTACTTTTTAAGTCCAGATGTAAACTGGTAGAGGCCAATTTTTGGTACAGTTAGAAGTCTGTATTATGGGCTTTGTTATACTGAGWACTCCTGTTGTTATATTCTATAATGAAGAGATTGGGCAGTACATGAAGATACTCCATTATTTTGTCCATTAAAGCCTAACCCTGTGAATAAAGTTTTTATCCTTTCTGTGAATATTAATAAATCAGGTTTTTTTGGTTTTTTTTTTCAAGATTTGCTGGTAAGGGAAATTTAATGTATGTTCCTACAACTATAAATTGTTGACCAAAATGTTTTTTAAGGGTATCTTGGAGTCTCTTGRTTTGAGTTTGGTCTTGTTTGATTAGTATGTGTGAAGTCATGGCAGTAAAAAATGGGTCAGTGAGCACACTGGTGCTCAACTCAAGCAGCAAATAGTTAATCCATTGAAACTGGAAAAGATTATCTGTAAGAACTGAATAGCTGTGTAAATAGTAATGTTTGCAGAAAGGTAATAGGTACAGAATGTTTATATTTGTGTATTTTAAATGTGATTTGCTGGCACAGGTTTTCAAGACTTCTTTCTGCAAAGGACAACAAATAAAACAATGTACACTAAAAGCCAGCAGGGAGTTAAAATTTGTCAGGGAGACAAGTACCATGAGCTCCCGAGTTTAACTAAAGCTGTTGCAGGAACCTTTGTTTTAAGGGGCTCAAGTTCGAGCCATTGCTCTGTGTGTGTTATATCTGACTTTATGTTAACTTGGATGTATTGGGCCTAGGCTCTCCAAGGGATAGTGCATCATCAGTTAAGAAAAAGGTTTTATTTATTTATGACAAAATATGRGTGAATAAATGGAGAATGTGTTTTATAATTGCCATATTTAATGGGGATTTTCTGTTTTTAGATTTCATGCAGTTGCCTGTGACAGCTCCTGTTRAGTAAACTGAGACTGGAACATCTTGTATCAGCTCTTGTACCTGTACCTGCCACCATGAGAAGTTGCATAAGGTTTCTTTTTTCTTGTTAATTCATGCTTTTATTGTAATGTAATTGTTATAAGCAGGTCAATTAGTAAACACATTCCTTTAAGGATTTTTTTCTTTCTCATCTAACAAAAGTTTTCTTCTAAAACTAAAGTGTATAACAGTATTAGTATAAGGCCAAATTAGTATATCGGGCCAAATCACTGATTATGTATTAAGCAGGATCAGTTCTGAGAAGTACTGGTTTASTTCTCCTGTCTCATGAATGAGTGTGCTGTTTGCTGCTTCTTTTTGCTGTTGACAAAAGTGTATCAGATTTAACTTGTCACCCTGCTCTTTTCCATTTGGTGACTACCAGAATAACCAGAATTAGATGTAACTGAATGGCTTTTATGTACATGCAGAGCCTTTTGCTCATGCAGATTTTTTCTAAGTTGTATTCTTGTATAAATTAGCAGCTCTTTCACCCAAGATTTAACCAKCTAACCTTTCCTGCATCCCTAGTCAGGGTTTGGGCACTGATTCCTCAAAAACCCCAGCAGGATTATGTGAAACCAGGATGGATGTATGTTCTCTAAGAACCTGAGTGTTTACAGCTACTCTGCAGACCAAACCACTAGGTTAGACTATTACCACGTGTCATGTGTTTTTATTTGTCAGTGATAAAGCAGGAGCTACCTGAAAACAAAATTCCATTGTGGAAAGGCAGTGAACTTTCTCGCTGTGTCATAATCTAATACTTACAAAAACTGCTTAGGATCATGTTCTCTGCTTTCTGTTCCCTGCCCCAAAATGATGGGTTTGCTTATATTCTTTTCATGGTCATATACTTCCAAAATTGTTAAGGTGACAATATACTKTACTTCAATGARATTTTAAAAMCCTKTGTAGCATTTCACTAAACCTTTCAAAGTTTTGTTGTTGTTGGGTACTTATTCTGTTTTTAAAGRTAGAATATTAAACAGCAAACACTGCTTCCCTTTTAGGCCTTTCAAATCTGATATAACTTCGAAAATTTCACTGAAAATTTTAAATTTTGGATTAGTTCTGCAAATTGTTTTTAAATAATGTATTTTCATTTTGACTTTTTAAAATAGCATACATTAAGGTTTGAAATAGCAATTGTTACAGAGAGAAATGCATGAGCAAGCATTGTGTCTTAACGAAAATAGTCTTTTACAGTCATTAAAAGTGGTTTTCTTAATGGAGGTTAAATGACCTTTTGTATAAAATAAAAACAACAGAAAATGTACTGTCATGTTCAGCTACATTGGTTTTGCTTGCTGTAAAATGCAATTGCCTTACAGCTAGCACTCCAGCCTCAAGTTAAGGTGGAGTTTTGCTTCTACATTGTCATCAAAATGATTTTTTTTATTGAATGCTTAATGATCCATTTAGCTGACTGGGTATTCTCCTAGGAATGKCAGTGATAAATCTGTTGGGCATGAAGGCATTTTAAACTGCATCTGCTTTGCTTACCTGGTATTTTCCTCTTCAGCAACATAGCAGGCAAATAAAATGATGTGTTAAAGTGTAACTTCTGTTCCTCAGTTTTACAAGGAAAGAGATGGAGCCTTTGTATTTCCACCAAGGAATTTCCTTTGTGTCATGGCTCAGCTCTCCTTAGAACCATCACCCTACAAAGATACTGGAACTTCTCCTTCTAATTAAATTAGTAGAATATATTTTTCTTTCTTGTTCACAAAGGCACTGCACTTACCCAGTGTCCAATTCCAATGGTAATTACAATTAGTTACAAGCATAGATGCTCTGTAAATATCACAGTCTGAAATCCATTGCCARAATCTTAAGACATTGGCACAGGAACTCTGTCTCTCTTGCTGAAGTTTGCTATCTCCTAATTACAAGATTTTGAAGGGAAAAAAAAATGGAATCTTACTTGGTCTCCAAGACAAGAAATTGCATTTGCAAAAGATTCTTTTTAATATTAAAGAAATCCCATTTTAAGTAAAAAAAATAGTCATAATTTTTAAAATAAACTGTTTTCAATACAAGACTTGAAAGAGCATCCCTTTTGTGAAAGAGTAACTGATATAGTCAGCAATTTACTCAGGGTAAGAGGATGTACATCAGAGCAATGTTCTAGAGCTGGATGCTTGCTTTTCTGAGGCAGGGGGRCAGTCCAAGACATTTCCCTTTAGTCTGCCTTGTTAGAGTGTTCCTTGGACCMTTTCTTGCAATGCAGCATTTTATGAAATGGTGGGGAAAGCACAATTTATGTTTGCAATTCAAAGCAAAGATTTCCAGGTTTGTTGTTTATTACACAAGGGTGAGCCAGAAGAGAGCTTGACATGGGACCTTGGCATGGTTAATGTACAAAGAGTGGAAAAAGTTCCTCTCTCCTGAGGCAGGGATAAAGCTGKTGGGATAACTGCAAAATCACATGGCAGGCTGCTGTTCTGGAAGGGCTCAGWGGCTCTCTAACCAAGGGAAGTTATGAAACCTGGAGAGAATATTTTTTAAACAGGCTTGACTGTTTGTCAGACCGGGAATTTCTTTGGAGCACGAATTTGGAATTTCTTTGCAGTTTGCATAAAGGTATTAAATGACTTGCTTAATTTTTATGTGTAACGGTGTTTGGTTAAATGTTCTCTGCCTRCAAAGCAGAAACAGAAGTTCTCCAGCTTTATAAGGAGAAAAAAGCTGTTTGCCTCCTGGCCTGGGCCAGGCAAAATTCTAGTACAGCATATAACTTTTTGAAAAATGAGTAAACTTTTGCTGTGTGAACTCTGGATTCAGCTTTAAAACAGCTTGTTCTATGCTGCTATCAACRACAGCATAATTTTTCAGGCCTGCAGTAGCTGATTGGCTGGCTTATGATTATTTTCATTAAGTATCCTTCAGTGACAGCCTAAGAACATAAGTCTCCTCAAGCGATTACTGAATTTGCCCTTTAGCCTATTTAAGTTCGTTTGTTTTTTATTTGTCATTGCTTTTTGCCTTTGATCTGAAAATGAAAATATATACACATGCTTTTTTTTTTTTTAAATATTTTAAATCTCTTTCCCCCACTGCTGCTTGTTGTAGTAAGTCCCTACTGTGAAGAGCTCCTATGGTTTATTTGAGTATTTTTCTCTGGGTGCTCTGCAGAATAGACTTTGATGTTGTTTGATTCTTTCATACTGCCTGTAATGATGCCTGTTAACAGTAAAGTTAYAGCAGCTTGTTAAGGAAAAGGATTATTATGAAATACTTTTGCTTGAWGTTTTAGGAAATTTTATATTTTAGGGAAAGATGGAATTAATGTCAATCTATAAATGAAGGATGTTGTATTGATCTGTTCCCAAAAGAACCTGCAGGTCTAAGATTAATGAAGCAAGGTTTCTTTCCATTACTACTGAAGGATCTTGTGTGATTTAAACATTACTTTTTCAACTCAAATTTCTTTTCATTAGGGTTTTCAGAGAGTTAATGGCGAAAAAGTCTGAGAGTGTAAGATATAAGCACAAAATAATACATCTTATGAATGATAATTTACTTAATTTAGAATTGTCAAAAGCTGTGCATCTTCTGCATACATCATTATTAGTTGYTTGATTCATGGTATTGCTTTTAATAAGTTATGTCAATACATTTGAAAGGTTAACTGGGTGAAGTGGATTTGTAGTTTATTATCTACAAAACACTGATTTTTATAGCCAGTGGCTTATTGACTGTTGCAGAAATTCATCTTCAGCCATTATGGCAACTGTCCCTGATTTCCATAAGGATTTCAATTATTTTGTTGATTTATCTTTTTAGTCTTTTAGACACAATGCCATAATTTCTTGACTCCACAGTAGAATACATTAGAAAGTTACATCATCATTGTGGTCATTGGATATGATAGATCATGCTTTTAAAAAAGACAAAGTGAATGACCTGGCATCAACTGAAAAACGTTACACATCTCTTCGTAGTGCTGTTGTTAGGAATTTGGGGATATTTCTAAGGTTTTTTCCAGTATTTACTAAATATTAATTAACTGATTGTCATGTTTGTTGATGTAACAAGTGGGTTGTGAGACTGAAATCATAGGACTGATAGGAAGTCCCTAGGAACAAACCAGCAAAATTCTGTCCCATACAGGGCTTTCCTTGGGTGGATGTCCAGTGTGCCCAGTGCTTGGAAAGCATTTCAACATCCTTAGTGGTTGGGGTTCCCCTGTACAGAGTGGTGACATTGCCTCTGTTCCTAGGGCTTGTTGGGAGGCTGATGATCTACAGTCAGAGGTCATAGGGATTCCTTGTGAGGGTGCACATGGAGGTGCTCTGATGTTGTTGAAGAGSATCTTTTGAATTCTATAATCACAAAACATTTTCAGATAAATACATACCATGCACATGTCATTGTAMTGCAGTCTGTTAAATGGGAGTTCCRCCTCATGTATCAGTGTCTGGTTTAATTTGTGTATGGGGTTCAGACTTCTAACCTCATTTTGKCATAGAAACACCTACTGGGATATGGTGTGTAATATTATGTTTGAAATTGCCCACCTGCCAACCACTGTAGTTTACTACTAACCATTCCTTTTCTCTTTTCAGATCTTTTTGGATCCCTGTCTAGCTGCTYCATGTTTCCAAACTCTCTCTTGTAACATTCTCAAGCAGCAAAAATGAAGTTGAAGCATAACATCAACCCTGTTCTTCTCCAGTTGATAAACTTTATAGTGCTGGTGTACACCCTTGTAACGTACATTCCATGGTACATWCTTTCAGGATCAAAGCAGGCTATAGCAAAAGCCAAGCAGGTTAAAGCCAGACCTGTGAATAACAAGCCTGGAGGTGCATACAGATCTGTTAACAGTCTGCATTGCTTAGCTTCRGTTTTATATCCTGGGTGTGATACACTCGACAAAGTTTTTAAATAYGCTAAAACTAAATATAAGGACAAAAAACTCTTGGGAACACGTGAAATTCTGAAAGAGGAAGATGAAATCCAGCCATCAGGAAAAGTTTTTAAAAAGGTAAGTCTTTTTGCAGTCTGCCTTCAAAAATTTTTTTCCAGAGTATGTTTAATTTCTTATGCAGCACTTCTAGTCCAGTAAAACAAAGCTGGAGAAAAAAATAAATTTCTCTACTTWGATTAAGTAGCTGTGAAAAGAGTTAAATTATGTGATACTTAGTCTTTCATTATTCTGCATTTAAAACAAATCTAAATGTTTTTATGTTCTTGAATAGATATGCTTTTTATGGTTTCAGCCAAAGAAGAAAACACAAATATATTTTAGGTATTTGTTTTTAATATTCAACTGGTGATGTAAGTGGCTTTAAAGGTTTCTCTTCTAAAGTGAATTTAAAARGTCTCTCTTTGTGTTATTCTGAACTGTAATCAGATAAATATGCAAAAATTGCTSAGTGCCAGTACTYAGATGTACCTTTCCAGCAGATTTAGTCATGAATTAAGGATTTGCTGTTCTGTCCTGGGAATTCAGGACTTAAATGAATTTTTTGTTTGGAAAAGGATTGTACAGATTTTATTGGAAGAGTCTTTTTTGCTTTGAGTCTCCTTTYAGGTTAACTGCTCTGCTAATCTGTAATCCTGGTGTGTGTGGGAGATGTGATTTCAGTATCTGACAACAACTCTGCTGTTTCAAGGARCTGAATTTTTATAGGGTATAAAGCTCAAGCCTGTATTGTCTTTTGCTGTTTTGTATTTGTTCAGGCACACTGAAAAATGCACTTTTGCTTGAAGAAGCAAGGCAGAATACTGTAACAGAATATGCATGTTTGTGCATCTCTGTTTGTGTTAAAGGTCTGCATTTCTGTATTAGAAATCATTAAATCCATGATAGATAATTTTTAGTTTAGTTTCCTTGCAGATGAAAAAAAATTCTCTCATACTGCTAGTTTTAATTCTGATAGAGGACTAGAGTATGTTTAAAATAGAAACAACATATGGCAAAGTTTAGTTCTGTTAAAATCTTTATACAAGCTTTAGTTGTTAGTGAAACGTCCTGTGGAGTTAGGTTTTCASTTGGAAGGAAATGCTGGGATGAATGGTTACATGTAATCCTTCATGATGCACATTTTGCTGCCTCATTACCCTATAAAGAAAGTTCATGTACAAAGAAAAGCTTCTGAGCACAAATCAGAATTTTGGCTGCCTGTGATATGTGCCCTGTTTTTTAATCATAATTGCTAATGTAAGACTTAAGAACTTAGGAGTTTTAGCCCTTTCTGTTATGCAAGCAAAGCGTTGTGAATATTGGAAAGCTGAAGAATGTTTGTGTTGATCTACTTAAATTACTTGTTTGTGAGTATTTAGACTTAGAAATTACACAAGTTAGGTAATTTTGTCTAAGCTTGGCACAAGGGTTCATTATGGTTGGTTGCTATACTTGCTGTTGTGCTACTTTGTTCCATGTTGCAGCATTATCACACAAGTCTGCTTTAAATTTTTTCCATTAGGGAATACAGTGTTTCTTAACACCTCTAGCATGTTTTAGCAAGTGAGGAAAATCCGAACATTTCACAAGATACCTTGTTGATTCTAAATGTCAGGGTTCCTATTTGATTTCTATCTTTCATTCTATGCAACTTTTTGTTGCCTGGTTCCCTTTAGCAAAGCTAAAAAACTTGCTGAGGTGTTTGTAGCTCTTCAAAAAGTTGCACAAGTTAAGTCTTGKGACAGGACTACACAAGAACTGCTGYRTGTTTATATATTATATATCTCAAAATAGTAAAATATTCAACTTTTGGTTGTTGGGAGAACTAAGTGTACTGACACTTGTAGCTAAAATTATTTAGATCTTTAAGATCAGATACTACATTAATTTGTTCTGTGAACGGTGATATCCCAGATAGGCTGTAATTTCTTGAATGTTTATGGTAGTGTATTTTTTAAAAAATATTTATTTGTTCCTGTGCAGGTGCCAAAGTCGCAGAAATTCATGGATGTGAATAAAACACAAATATTTGCTTATGCTCTTTTGTTGTATTTCATGTGTGGTTATTTTCTATTTCCTTCTATAGTGTACTTCTCCAATTTCCTTCTCCAATCTCAAGCATACCTAATGTTAATTTCATAAACCATGTATTTAAGTCAGGATAAAATAATGTTGAAAATACCTCTGAGATTAAGATGTAATTAATTGGAAAAATTAATTAATTTAAGCACAGCTTAAATTTTGTGATGCCCAAAGGATGAGCTTTTTCTGCTGGCTGATTATTTTATGTTTTCTTAGTTATAGGTTAAATTGTCAGGTGCTTGCTTTGATCTGTGTTGGTATTTGGATTTTGCTTTATGTGTGTGTGTTCTTTTGTTGGGTTTTTTTTT